TCTTTTACACCTCTTGACCTTTGTCCTTTGACCCCCAGCTTCGACATCCCAACTCGTTTTACGATCCCCCCCAACGACCCGAATATCGTGACCGTACGTCGAGCGGTTAAGATTTGTGCCCAACTGTTGACAGACGGACGGACGGACGCACGGACGATCAAGCGATTCTACAAGCTGCATCTGACTATGTCAGATGAGCTAAAGAGAAATCATAATTACAGAATTCGGGACTGGCTGGGATTTCAGACTTCAAGATTGATATAGCCTAACCAACCCCACATCTCTTTCAAACATCGCCGTTCATACATCCCCGATGACAACTAGGAACAATGAAATCAACGAACCGTCAGCAGGAGCAGCAGCTGCAGCATCAGCAGTGGCGCCACCTGCTGGTGCACCACCACCAACAGCAGGAACGGCTGAGCTCATGTTAGCTATGAGGTCCTTCAGGCTAACTCCTTCCAGTGCCTTGGCAAACAGATCTGCAACGAATAGCATTTCAGTATCAATTTTAGATTGACACGCACAAGTATTTACCTCTAGAACAATCAAATTCAGCTGCTAACAGGAAGTATGAGATCACTTGTTCTATAACTCTGGTCACGATTCAATTAGCCATACCATTACCGACCAGTCTCAGAAATCCAGTCACTAAGTATATATATACGTTATGCACATGTCACAACTAAAGTCTGACGTGGGGAATTTTCTACATTTTTAAACCTATAAGTACTTTTTAAATTGAGTACAATATCTTGCAGAATCATACACCTGCATGAACCTGGAGCATATTATGTCATGTGTGACCTGAGAGGGACCCTTATCACGTATACATCGGTTATGCTTACTTGGCCACAGGCCTTCAACATCCACTTTAGCTGCCTTGACGATAGAGGTCAGCTTGTCACTCTGAAACAAAAAACAAATAGTTTCAATGACCACAAACATTAATGTGAACTAACTAATGCATGGGTAGCGAATGCATATCCTGTACACAATTGTCAATTTGTTCTTGAATTTGTTGCCTGGCAAGTTCTCAGTGAGTGTTCAAATGTAACCGATAAGAAACATAAATAAACGCTGCTGGCTGGGAATACGCTTCGTGTTGGGATTGAATGATAGTTATTATAATAAGCCAGTTCGTAGTTACAGTCTGCGCATGCGCGAACTTTGCCATGAATTCTTTTGGGTCAGGTCATTTGTGACAAAATATTTCGTATTTCGACCTTACAATATACATACGCATGCATCTGTGTCGTTGTAATGCTACAGTCTTCACGTGTGCACGTACACGTGTGTGCATGCGTGCGTGCGCAAGTACACGTGCAGGCTTGCGTGTGTGCACTTGCACGTACACGTGCGTGTGCACTTACACGTGCGTGCACTTTCACGTACACGTGCGTGCACTTGCACGTACACGTGCGTGTGCACTTACACGTGCATGCATGTGCACGTAAACGTGCATGTGCACTTACACGTACACGTGCGTGTGCGCGCGCACGTACACATATGCGACATGCGTGCGTGTACATGTACACAGAATACATGTATATATATATACGTACTGAACCGAGAGCGCACGCCGCACTCGAGATTTCATAGATTTTTGTCACAAATGACCTGGTGACATGTGACGTCACACAACCCCTTGGCTAACTACGAACTGGCTTATTAACCAATGTGTGTATACGACCGTAACTAACCGAGAAAGACGTGGTACTTGCACGCTCGCTGTCTCAGTGTCTGTACTCAATTCTCTACTTTACTTTAGCCATTTTGGAAATTCCATCGTTCGTACTCCACGTGTTTATGTTACCATGTGCGCGCGTGTAATCGCACAGTAAAGTTAGACTGTGAACCTCCCGGTCACACACTTACGTTCGGCTAAAGCAGGCAATATAAGCAAGAGGTTGAAAGCTTGTTTCGTCACTCAATGACGTCACAGTGTCGTCACGTCCGTACGGACTTTAAGGTGCATTGTGACCCTAACCCTAACCCTAACCATAACCCTATTAAAAAAGAAAGAAAAAACAATTTGTACAGTCGAAACTGTAACCTCATTGAGCGACGAAACAAGCTTTCAACCTTTTGCGCAATATAAACAAACATTTCGAGGACCAATCCTGACATCATACCGTTACATCCACATTGTCGTCGGCGAGGATGAGAGCGGCGTAAACGCACGCGAGTTCGTCCTTAGATGCCATAGTTTCTTCAAACACGTCCGCAACGTTAGATGAATAGAAATTTGGGTACAAGTCGCCGATTTAGGCCTTAGCTGTAAACAGAACGTTGCACCTTATTTTGAATATTGCACAGGGGAGGGATTCCACCCAAAGTGACAAGTGAACAGTAAACATGATTTTGACGTCATATCCGGACATGCGCTCTCTCTCCTTCTCGCTCGCCTCGTGAAGACCAAACTCCACGACAGATAGCGCTCTCGCTCTGGCTCCTATCTACTGTGTATTTGTGCATGCACACTGGCGTGCGGGCTATGTGTTGCATCGGTGTATTTAACGGTGTTGAAGTGAAGTTATTAGGTCAAATCAAACATTAAGACTATTGCTGGTACTGTAGTAGTACTAGTAGTAGTAGGCTACTGACAAGTTGTATTTATTAACCATCATTTTATTATTGAAACGGTCCAAGTGCCTGTGGTTTGAATGAATAAACGTTACTTTCTTAGTTCTTCGTTATAGTTTCTTTGCAGCGTTTCAAGACTACGATAAGGATTTCCCCCCATTGGTCAGGCCGATGCAGACGTTAGAACTTCGCTTTGCTAATCTTAGGGTGCGGGTTTATCCCCATTACTGGGGTCTGCGTTGGCTCGGACTAGCCGCAGTGTAAGTCGAAATGAATGTGTAAGCTTTTATAACAGGTTTCCGCAAACTTCGAAGGAGCTATGAGCTATGAGGAAAAATGCTTCGCTTTCCAGCCGCAATGTAAAAATTCATATTTTACAGAAAAGTAAGTTTTTTAAATTTTCGTAAACCAGAGATTAAGTATACACCCATTGACAGTTCTCCGCCTATGTTCTGCGCCATTAGTTACGCATCTCCGCGAGAGCCCGGATGTGCGAGTAAACTCCACCATATTGTTTATCTCGATGCGTTATCTGCCTTGCATACGCAGGTCGCTCACCTTTGTGTCGAAGAACAGTGCACGTAGCAAGGAATAGAGCACCGATAATGGATGACCTGAGTGACATGACACTTGATACATTTAAATTATGGTCAATGCATGCTCTAAAAGTCTTTCTTAAGCCAATACGATCCGTTTGAGCAGCCCTTCATACTACACGTTAACGCCATTGTTCGCGCAGTTTACTCGCGCTTTCTGGGACGGAAACTCCTCCCGACCTTTGACCTTAGGCTAAGCGCATGCGCAGTGTTAAACTGTCAACGGGTGTATTTATTTCCCACATATAAATTTGGCACAGCTAGCGTCGCATGTCATACCTTAGGCCTAAATATCACATATAAATAAATATAAATCTCTGGCTCGTTCACATTCGCGGACATGTATACCATGCACGTGCGTGTCCACATATGCGTGCATTAGCATTGTACAAAAACTGCACTATTTATGATATATTTCCAGCATCATTACCACTTGATGGCAAGAAGAAAGATGTTGGAAGGAGATCTGGAAAAAGGTACAGAACGTTATCTTGATATATCTTTTTTCTAGTTACTCAGTTATTCAATTATTCAGTATTACTCAATAGATGGGACTGCCTGCAAGAATTATATAAGTTTTGTTCGATATCTGTTGATATAATCAAATAAATAGCCCGATATGTCTAGGTACTAGAACCACGAGTCACCCCAGTTTGGTCATGTACACATTAGGTAAACGTGGTGCATACATACAAAGATGTTTCGATGCGTGACTGGCATGACGGTGACGTCTCGTTAAAATAACTAGTTCAAGCACAGTAAAAATGATGCTAGCCGGGATTCACACTCGCGTGTAAATAGTTACCCCCCCCCCAGTTATGTTTGGCGCAGAGCGTGTACATTGTCTAGCAGAGCGCGAGGCCGGATACCAGTCTACCCTTTGGCAAAAACAATAACGTGGCTTGCTGCCAGCCGCAGTAGACGATCGATAAACCGTGCGCTCGCGTATGCCCGTGGTAAAATACCAATGCTGCACGTGAACTCGGCCCACGCGCGATTTAAAGCGCGGGAAACAGCATCTATGAATTCATACGATGACAATTAAGCTCTTATCTAAATAAAGTTTTTCATAGCAATGGTCTGGGTCTGGGCTAGTGAAAGTTAGGTCAGGGCTAGTGGCTTTCCTCAGTTACTAACCCGATGGTCTAGTGAAATAAAAAGTTAATGTTGAACCCTGATAATTTCTTTTTTGTTTGTTTTTTTCTTCAGAAGAAGAAGTATTCCGGTCGGATGGAGTCTTTCGGAGGTATGTTGACGTAACATAATTTCAACCTTCATGCGTGCGTGTGTACCTACATGTGCGTGCGTGCGTGCGTGCGTGCACGTACACGTGCGTGTGTGCACGTACACGTGCGTGCGTGCGTGTGTGCACGTACACGTGCGTGCGTGTGTACGTACATCGTACTGGTGTTGCCGCCTATCGTGGAGTTATGAACTATTCGCTAACTCGAGTTAAGCGTCTATACGGGGCCTTAACTCGAGTTAGCTTAACCTCGATCGACTGGCGAGGTTAAGCTAACTCGAGTTAAGGCCCCCTATAGAGGGTTCCGCGACTTGCACTAAAAATAGCAATATTACCTACAATCCTGTGCCGCCGGCCATCTCTGTTCCAAAAAGAGTGAACACGTGTTGCGTGTAATCTGCCGATCTGCATGCACAATCAACCCATTTTACATTGGCTATAGTGTTATTATTGCAATAGATATAAGCAAGAGTGAGACACCCGATTCCCGCATTTTTAACCGATTTTTCTCATCAAAATTTGCCACCAATAAAGAAGCGATCCCGCATTTTTAACCGATTTTTCTCATCAAAATTTGCCACCAATAAAGAAGCAAGTGTATACGTTCCTCAGCTTATTATCAGCGTTCTCCAAGCCTTTTCATTATAGCATGGCGGGTGCTGCCTTTACGGTCCTAGTTGCAAATTGCCGAAGGCGGTTTGTGTGCTAGGGGGGTCCGTGGGCTATGATATTTTGCATGGCAGCTATGATATTTAGAGTGGCGGGTGTATTTTATGATGGCGGGGCTCGACGATAGCCTGGCGGGCCGCCAGGCTATGAGTGCTCTTGGAGAACCCTAATTATGACCACTAATCACTCACCTTCGTGGTACTGATATTCGTTTACATATATTTGCTAGCGTATTGCTGTAAATCGTAATCTTGCACGAGCTGAATTCGCACGATTTACCGCTATTGTTGTGACCTGTCAAGACAGTTTGTGAACCTATCGGGGCGCCAATATTTAGCCACGGACGGTTTCCAAATCATTCGTGCCCCGATAGGGTTGAGAGACAATCTAAATTTCGAATTTTGATCTCGTGAGGATCCGCACTCAGTTATTGTGATCGCAACACAAGAAATTGACATACTATCTTACATAAGTAATAATACAATAATAACAATAATAATAATAAGAGGCTGCCATGCACACAGTCGGCAGATTCGTAGATTGAGCAGATTGGAAGATTGCACGCAACACATGTTCATAGTTTGAGTTTGTTTACATCGTGGGAGTTCAGAAATTTTACTGCATCTACTCTAGCTATCAAATGAAGCTTTTTAGCTTATCTGACGTAGTCAGATGCAGCTTCTAGAATCGCATGATTGTCCGTCCGGCTGTCCGTCAACAGTTGGGCACAAATGTTAACCGATCGACGTACGGTCATGATATTCGGGACGTCGGTGGGTGATCGTCCAAACGAGTTGGGATGTCGAAGCTGGGAGTCAAAGGTCAAAGGTGTAAAAGAAGGGGGAACATTCCCTCCTTAACTTAAAGGCCTCCTTTAGTGATGAAAAATAGTTACATATATCAAAGTAACTATGTTATGTACAACTACTGAGAAATTTACAGGTTGAATGGTTTTCGGGTGTATGAGAAAAAA